GCAGTTCCAGCGTTGTTAACTAGTACGTCCAACTGACCAAATTTTTTTAATGTTTGGTCTATTATTTTTTTAACGTCTTCATCTTTGGAAACATCGGCACGTAGCACTAAAGGATTTTTACACTTTTTGGCTACTGCTGCTAATTTATCTTCATTTCGCCCAACAAGTACGACGCGAGCACCTTCAGAACTAAAGCTCACAGCTGTAGCTGCGCCTATACCGGAGCTTGCACCAGTAACAATTACGACTTTGTTGATAAAGCTCATTGTAGTTTACGCTCTGCTGGAGGACACAGAAAAGTAAGGGACAGAAATCAAGGCGTTAATTTTTATACCATCAAATCTCTTTTTTTATAAGTATGCTAATGAGTTCTAAAGCGACAAGAAATAAATAATACATTATCTAAATTATAAAGTTTCAACACTTTATATAATGGCGATAAAGATATTATTCTAATACGGTTTGTTTGTCAATTTGTTGCACTCATGTAATCAATTACGTAGAAATAAATTTATAGGTGACTCCACTGTTTTTTTTTTCGTTTCCTACTTTTCGTGTAACGCTAATAATAATTGCTGTAAAGCTCTCGAAACGTCGTTGATCAAAGATTAATTGGATACATCTACATATTATATATCAATGGGTGTATAATAAAATACTTTGGTTTTATGATCTGCTTCGTCAGACCTGCCAAGGGAGCGTCGCGTCGTGATTGAGTACGTAAGCGATCCTGCGACGCCCCATTAAGATGGGGCAGGTTCTGTTGGATTTTAGTGGGTAGTACTGGCTTTTCTAACCAGTGAGTCCTACATAACCACCTGTATGTATACAGGTAATATGCGTACATGTATTTCCCAACATTAAATAGGAAGGAAGGCATTTAAGCGAAGTAAAGGTATATAGCTAGTTAACTTGTATGTATAACAATACAAACTCAAGTAGGTGATATTTAAAATAATAACTGTCACGAATACAAAGCTGTATTTGAGTACCTTTAACACTTCAATATCAGCTTACAAAATAGTTACTGCTTCGTTATCATGACATCACATGATCACATACATAATTGTTAGGACTTATAATTATTTATTTCATGTAACTATAATTTGAAGCTTTTGTAAAGTGGTTTTCAAACTTTGTTTTATAATATCATGTAGTGATACATTTTTTAAAATTTTTATTCTTTAACGATTATAGGATTACGTGTTGTCTAATCCCCAGGGTTATTATATGACTCAACCCAACTCTACTATAGCTATAGTGTACCTACTGTTTAGTCTAAACTCTAAAGTCTACACTATAAAGTCTTTTGAAACTCTTAACCTTTTCTGGTGTTCTGACTGAAAAATATTTTTTCAGATAAAATTTATTGTTGTTGTTAAGTTGAAAAGGGGTTGATGTGAAATTTAAGCGTGGAAGAGTTATAGATAAATAAACTAAGAGAGCGGAACCGCGAGTTTTAGATATATTATTGACACTCTTGAAATATTGATTTAATATTTTTAATGTACCCCACGTCAAGTACACATCGATCTTTAAACGCTATTAAAAGTGCAAATATCGAGTAGCTAAGCCCTTGTCAGCTGATAAGTAGTATTTATTTACAAATATTGCAAGTAATTATGATAAGTGGTATGTTATGATGTTAATAATGATTTAATATTATACTTCGTGGATGATTGGTTTGTCAACGTAATTTTAATTTTAGTTCTTTTTATTATAACCTATTGGTAGCTTGACCTGCATGTCTGAGATAAGTTAACCAGTTTTTGAAGACGAGAAGTTCATTAGGCTTGTGTAGTATCTTATGCCTTTTACTGTGCTAAGTTGGAAAGTTGGCGGTGTTTGACCCTCGTGCCTTGGAGATCACGTCAACCCTTCGGTCTTGCGCCTCACCCTCATCCGGTCCCATCGGAATTAGAGAGAAAGGAATAGAGAGTGCACTGGTGTCTGCGCGTGTGCTTGTGTACTATAATGTCTAGTGGCAATCATATTGGCCGCCGTGGCCGAAATCGGTCGGAAATCCTCCTGCCTAATTTCGGCTTATGGTAAGCCTTTGTTCCTTGGCATAGAAAAGACACCCGCGCCCAGTATAGTGTTGCAAAAAACGTTGTCTTTTTTTCTACTGTGAAAAAATAATTTAAATAAACAACATGAAAAAAGCACGTATTTTTTTGGAGCATGTTTTTTTTCAAGAGTACAGAAATCAAAATCATTCAGGTAGTTTCTGTAAAAGACTAATTCTTAAGAGTTTATATTAATGTTTTCTGTTCATTTTTAAACCCACCATACTTTTTGGTTGACCTGATACTGAAGTGGTAGGTACCACTACAGTACAGTACATACAGTACAATACAGGTACAGTAGGTACTGACATTGACACATAGGAAGAATATTTTTTTATTTAAATTATTCATTAAACGACATTGGCAAAGTAAATTGTGCCCAAGTGGCATGCCTATAAGCCACAGAACGAACAACATTGAACATTTACTGATTCATTATACTTTATTGAGTATTCGATTTGTGATTTTAGTAAAATGTAGGTAATAAGTTAGAAAACATACCTACTTGAATTAATCCTATATGTTTATAGGAAATTAAATGTTTTTCCTGAAGAAAAAACATAGAAAAAAAGAATGTTGTTTTATTTTCATGTTACATCACTAGCCCTAGGAAGATTTTCAATAGGATTTAAACTTATCGAACTAGTGTAAATGAAAATTATGTAAAAAAAATTTCACCCCGAAATGGCTGCACAGATGATGGACAGATGATGGAAATTGAGTACACAGATAAACGATATCCTGTAGTAGCACGTAGGCTCTTGCTAGAAATGTAGGAATGTACCTAAGCGAAGCAAGTTTAAGTCGTTAGTTACATAACGATATCTTAATGAGGCGCCGCAGGAAACAGACCACAACAACCATGGCGTTGCTCCCATGGTCCACTCTGCTATCAGTCTCTATCTGCTATCGTGTCCGATGCCATAGTATCATACATATGGGGAACATATCTCTTCGTAATGACTTGACGGCGTTAGATTATATAAAATCAAAATAGCGAATTTCATGCGTCAATTTTTGAAAAAAATCTACCCAACCCATCCATTTTATTTGTACAACCGTTGTACACGTTGTACATACAACAATTTGTATCCTAAAAATGACTAATTATCCAAAAATCTATAGGTATATATAATAAAATCCTAACTAAGTCGAATCTGTACATTAAATATTTTTTGGAAAATCTTAATGAAATGGTCATTATTATCGATACAGAGCCCAAATCTATAGTTTTTAGAATTTTTGTCTGTCTGTCTGTCTGCCTGTCTGTTACCGCATCACGGAAAAACCACTGGAGGGATTTTGATGAAATTTGGTATGGCGATAGCTGGTTATCCGGGTCAACATATAGGATACTTTTTACCGCGGGAAAATATCTAATTTCTGAGAAAAAATACATAAACTGTAATGTAAGAGTATACTAATATGTATAACCTAAAGATTTGGTTTTTGGTCATCTGAACGCAGGCGGAGCCGCGGGAATTGCTAGTAAACTATATTAATTAGTTTTTATTACCCACCTAGTTGTTAACAGTTATCCGCTAAGAAAAGATTTTTGAAAATTTAACATCTGAAAGGTTAAAAAAGGGATTGGAAGTTTGTTGTGAAGTAAGCTTCAATGGGCAAAACTATTCCCCATACAAACTAAGGCTATAAATTAATACATTTAGAAAAGCGTCATAAGGTCAATTTTCATGGGCTCCAGCGGTAACATTGCATAATTGAAAAATGAAAAATGCCAACTTTTTTACTTCAAAGTTTTAGGCAGTACCTACATCCTCTGGGTATGAAAAATAAGGGATAGCATGACTTGTAACTTGGTTTCATCCTTTTAAAAATAAGAAACATAGAAAATAAACTAAACTAAAGAAGAAATTATTACCCTATAGGAATAGGCTAAGAATATTTTTTTTGGAAATTAAACTTAAACTCGGGGTTGGAAGTTTGTATGGAATCCGTTTTTTGAAGTTACAAAGATCAAATTTTGATTTGAGACGTTTTATTAAATATGACGATATTCTTCTCATTATTTTTTTAAATGTGTCCTATGGTTGTGAAAAATAGGCTAATGGATCGTCATTTGTAAAATTACAAATATTGAAATCTCAAGTTACTGAATAGTAAATAAAATAAAATCCTAACGATTTTTTTTTAAATTGCTACTGGTGGTTAACATTGTATATTTTTTTATATCACGTATCACGTGAGTTTGAAGAATAATTCAATAAAACATAATATAAATGTAAATGATTAAAATATCCAAGATAAAGACTTCGTATTCGTAGATTTATTATCGTAAGACTAGGTGTATTCTGTATTTATTATGCCAGTATAAATTTAATAATAACTGCCTCGGTGGTGTAGTGGCTAGCATGTACGGCTGCACATCCGGAGGTCCTGGGTTCGAGTCCCGGGTCGGGCCAAGTTTAGTTATTGAGTCTTTCTGTATAGTAAGTCTCAGTAACAGCCCGGAGTTGGGAAGTTGGCGGTGTTTTACCCCCGTGCCTCAGAGAGCACGTAAAGCCGTCGGTCCTGCGCCTTAACTCTCACCGGTCGTGTCGAGTGGTCATCCCACCGGAGTATGAGAGTGATAGGAATAGAGAGTGCACTTGTGTCTGCGCGTACACTTGTGCACTATAATATCTCCTGCGCAGTTGGCTAATCTCAATGAGATTGGCCGCCGTTGCCGAAATCGGCTAGGAGAACATCATCATCATAAATTAAATGGTAGTTAAAAAAAAATACAAAAATAGTAACTTATACAGATAACAGATAATCAGACATAATATATTATATTACCTACATATATACATAATATATGTTATGATTATCTATTTAGTTACAACTTATATAAATAGTTAAAATTATGAACTACAATAACAAAATAATATATAAATGAAAACGAAAAACATGATCTAGAATTTTATTTTTTTAACGTTTTAAGAGCGTGCCATTATCTGCTATAAAGTCGGATCCTGTGATCGACTTAGCCTTGTCACTTGCTAGAAATATCGCTAAATCTGCTATTTCTTCCGATTTGGACACTCTGTTTAAGATGGTTAAGTTGCACATTTTATCCAATTCTAAATCCAGTTTGCTATTCTCCATAAAATCGGTAAGAACTGGTCCTGGGCTGATTGCATTAACTCTTACGCCATGAGGCCCCAGTTCCGCTGCAGCACACCTAGTGAAGTGATCCATGCCGGCTTTTGAAACGCAGTAAATTATAAAAGATGGAATATGCGGAGTCAACTTACCCGCTACACTCGATATATTTATGACATTACCTTTGGTTTCGATCAAGTACGGCGCAGCCAAACTTGTCAGATAAATAGCGCCCCTTAGATTCGTAGCCATAATACTGTCATACGATTTCATGTCTACTCCTTCGATCAGGTTACTTATTCCTAGGGCAGTTCCAGCGTTGTTAACTAGTACATCCAACTGACCAAATTTTTTTATTGTTTGGTCAATAATTTTTTTTACGTCTTCATCTTTGGAAACATCGGCACGTACCACTAAAGGATTTTTACACTTTTTGGCTACTTCTGCTAATTTATCTTCATTTCGCCCAACAAGTACGACGCAAGCACCTTCAGAACTAAAGCTCACAGCTGTAGCTGTGCCTATACCGGAGCTTGCACCAGTAACGATTACCACCTTGTTTTTAAGGCTCATTGTAGTTTACACTCTATCGTAGGACGCAGAAAATTAAGGTACAGAAATCAAGGCGTCCGTTCTTATCCGTCCGTCATCAAATCTATTTTTTATAAGTATGATACAATGAGTTCTATAGTAACACGAAATAAATAATTAATAGATAAGCTAAATTATATAGATTATATAATGGCGATAAAGATATTATTCTGAAACGGCTTGTTTGTCAATTTGTTGCACTCGTGTTATTTTTGCGTACAAATAAATTTATAGATGAGTCAACTGTTTTTTTTCCTCTGCCACTTTTCGATTCTTAGCGGTTAATTTTTTACCATTTTTTTCGGTTCCGAGCCCTGTTGGTCCCCAACGTTTCGAATGCTTTACAGCAATAAGAGCTGTCTTCCGCGATTATGACCATAATATCTGTAGCACTCGAAACGGCAGGAAAAAGCTAGTTTGTTAATATATTATTTTTAATGCACTATCATTTAGTTCCGACGCCGAATTGTCTCTGATATTCATACATCTATAGGTAGGTACATATAAAAAATGAAATATTTTTTGGCAAATCTTATCGAAATAAACATTATTATCGATACAGAGGAGTCTATAGTTTTTAGAATTTTCGTCTGTCTGTCTGTTACCGCATCACAGAAAAACCACTGGAGGGATTTTGATGAAATTTGGTATGGTGATAGGCTAGTTTTCCGTGTCAACATAATATAGGATACGTTTTTCTGCGGAAAATGTCTCATTTCTTATGATCGCAAGTAAGAGTATACTAATATATAAAACCTAAGAATTTGGATTTTGGTCATCTGAACGCGGGCGGAGCCGCGGGCAATGCTAGTATTATATATAATAAAACAACTTCGATACATTTTACAATGGTCTAAGACATCATGGCGATTTTTTTGGACTTTTTGATACACACTAGAAGGACAAATTACTATGAAAAATTATGGGAAATACGATCCTTTTTCATAATTTGGCAGGCCTGCCGTCGTGGCATCGTGGTTGAGTGCGTAAGCGATCTTGCGACGCCCCATTACGACGGGGGAGGTTCTGTTGGGTTTTAGTAGGTTGTACTGGTTTTTCTAGCCCGTGAATCCCACATAACCACTTGTTTGTATACAGGTGGTATGCATAAATTAATTTCCCAACATTGAAAAAAAAAAGAAATGCACTCGAGCGAAGCAATGGTATACCTATAGCTAGGTAACTTGTATAACAAAACAAACCCAAGTAATATTTAAAAAAATAACAGTGATGAATACAAAGCAGAATTTTAGTAAGTACCTTTACAGGGCCTCTGTGTAGATAAGAGTAGATAAACAAAATTCTATTTATTTCTATTTCTTTACTAGCGAATCGCCATCGCTTCGCTTGGGTCCGTCCCTAGGTACGTTTTATTAGTATCGAATATTTAGACCATATAGTAAATTATGATATACTACCGACTCATCCTCGCTCCGCTCGGGTTCGTCCCGACTTACGTTTTAACATTTAGTAGGTATAAATTTCTCAGAAATGAGATATTTTCCCGCAGTAAAAAGTATCCTATATATTAACCCGTATAACCAGCTATTATCATACCCAATTTCATCAAAATTTTTCATAAATATATAAATTATATATATATATATATATATATATATATATATATATATATATATATATCAATATATCAGTCGTCTGTAATGCGCGCTAGGTAATGGACGCGCATTGCATTGCACACTCTGACCCGAATTTTTATTCGCGTACTGCGCGGCTTAGCCGCTGCCGGATAAAGCCGCTATGAGTTCCGAAAAACTCATAGCTAACGAGCTGTTGGCGTTTATACAGCACGCCATCGACTCTATGGACGAGGTCAGCATCATGCAGATCTGCAAGTCGAACTTTAAAGAAGAGGAGATTTGCAGGAGCAAGGTGCTGCTCTACGAGACTCTCGGCCAGGCCGACCGAATTCCCACTCGCAGAAGGGATGAAAAGGGGGAGAGAAGTCTTCAGGACATCATTAATCTCCTGAAGACAACCGATCCTGACGACGTGCCCGCCTTCGTGGCCAAGCAGCTGAACAAGCTGCCACCCGTCACGTTCGATCACGTTGACGTCACCAGGCTGCTCAAGGATATCACCACCCTGAAAGCTGGCCTGGCAGAGGTGCAGTTTAAGTTAGAGATTTCCGAATCTACCATCAGTGAGCTGCGCGCAGAATTATTATCATTCAAAAGTAATGGTTCTGTAAGTAGGTCACCAGAGTTCACTAACGTAAACACACGTCGCGGCGCACAAATTGACTCCATCAGCAGTTTGTCGTCGCCGCCGATTACTGCTGAGGTGCGCGAATCGCGCGACACAGCTACGCCTGCCGCCCGCTCCCCGGCCCCGCTGATGACGTCGAGTGCGAGCGCGGTCATGACCCCGCCGCGTGCTTACGCCGCAGTCGCAGCCGCGCCCGCCCCTGCCGCTACACCCACCCCGCCAAGCAAGCGGCCCTCGAATGGAGGGAAAAAGAAGAGCCGGAGCAGACCAACTGCCAAACAGGTGTCTCCGTCGGGTTCCACAAAGAACAAATTTGACGAGGAGGGCTTCACTACAGTGGAGAGGAAGAAGAGGAAGCCCTCATGCCGTAACATCTGTGGCAGAGCTCCGAGCCAGCCAGACCATCCGATGCGCCCCGCCGTACCATCGACGCCGCTGTATGTGTCCCGATTGCACTGGTCTACGAAGGTCGAGGATGTCGTAGACTACGTCCAGAAGAGGTCCAACTTCAAATTGAGGGTTGAACGGCTGGTACCTCGCCACAAAACGAGTTTCAATTCGTTTTTGGTGAGAGTGCCGACTCATCATCTGCCAACCTTCATGAAGGAGGACTTCTGGCCGCAGGGCGTCGTATTTCGAAAGTTCCGAGGTCGTTTGCCCGCTGACACAGCTCACACGTCTGCACTTCGTGTGATTTAGTTATAATTAATATACATATATATGTTAGTTTTAAGGTATATATTATGCTATGGGCCTCTGTTTACGTATTTAAGATCCTTATGTAAATATTGCCTGAAATAAATGATTAAATATATATATATCATCAGCACCTAGGGTAACTCAATGTTGTATAATCATATTGACGAAGCATCTATTATTATTATAAGCTTAGATTATTATTTATATCTAATAATCTAAGATTATAAGTGATAAATATAAAAAATGCAGATTACTTGCATTCGAGTCGACATTACGTGATATGCGTGCTTTCCATAATCATGAGCATATCACGTCAGATGTTTATTCAAGGTTCTCGAGAATTCGGTATACCGAAGGTTCTTACACGGTAATATTACATAATTACATTACCGTGGTTCTTAGCTATAATAGGGAATATGCGTGTGATTTCAATAAAGATGAATTTTACACGTTTGGCTCGGCTTGTAGTGACTACTTGTTGTGCCAGCGGTCGCGGGTTCGAGACCAGTTTGAATAATTCTTTTGTTATTTTTTTGGGGTGTCATGGGTGGTTTAAGTATAAAATAAAATAGGAAAACCCATAAGAACAGCTAGAAAATCGAAGAATTCAAAACTGTTTATGAACTAAGATCCCGCTGCAAGATTGCTACGTTCATAGCGTATTTAATCGAAATCAATTTTTATATACCATAATAAAAGGGACAATAAGTTTTGACCGGGGTGCCTATTCAAATGTGCCCGCTAGTATGTTTAATTAACTATATAATAGTAGACTTTTTGGAACAAAAACGATGCATTTTTTATTACAATGAATTATACTCCACTTCACAGAACTCTACGAAGAGATCTTGAAAAATGATAGCTGCCGTTGCACATATTTTGGGACGTTTATACGTTCATCGCGTATGTTCATCATTTATATATCAAATTAAAGCTAATTTTTTTCTGTACCTGATAAACTACGTCATGCCTATGCAAAAGTGGTTGCGAGTGTCTACAAAATGAGTTGAAAATAAATATTCTATATACAGGTGAATTTTTCAAGTGGGCAAAATCAACGCGTGGCCATCATTTTGAACAATTGATCAGTTAAGGTTTAACAGGTAGGTAACAAAGGAAAGTTTTTTTTTGATAAAAATGAGCCCTTTCCTTAAATTTGCCGTATGTAATTACTTTCCGGAATGCGTTCATTATTAGCTACACTATCGAATAGCGTAATAATACAGTTGGTTTTTTTCAAAGTCAACGGGTTCGATTCTTGGCTAGGAATATTGACTTTTCAAAAATCCAATGATGCAGTTTTAGTTTTCATGAAAGTCGGTCCCGAGACTCCTTTGAGTATTTTTCGCTATTCCTCATAATTTCGGATATGGCCATCCACGCCCACTTGAAAATTTCATCCTGTATATAAAAATGAATCATCTAAATGTATGTACGCGCATAATTTCTGAGTGACTGCGCCAATCAGATAATTCTTTTTTATTTGTTTGTTATTATCAGGACAAGTTTTGTATAGAAGAAAATTAAAAGAATTTTTTTTTTTTACTATAATAAGTTTTTTTAAATCTCATATGAAAAGTGAGCAAGTAGTTTTTATCTCGGAAATCATCCCGTAGGGGGGTGAGAATGGGAATGAAAGTTTGTATGGGGAATCAACCGAATAAGCGAGGGTGATTCGCTAGTTACTATATAAATTAGCCAAAATATTTATATGTAGATTTAAGAAACTAGTTTTTTATTTAACTTAAAGCCGGGTTCGAAACGATAATTATCATGATAAATATGGTTTGATAATTATCTTTTATAAATATAATTGAAAATATTTAATTTGTAACTCCTCAAATTGTCGATTAGCTAACTGAACTCTCTCAATCAGCTCAAAAAACTCAATCAGCAAACTGAGTTAATGCAGTTGAGGAGGATGAGGATGATATTCCACTCATTAAGTAGTCTGCCCACTACACCGTCTCATACCATGACCGTGCTATGAAGTATGAACGTATCAGGCACGGAAACAAGCGATACGGACTACAATGCCCACTCAAACGTGTCATTCGCGTATCAACCGCGTATCATCCGTCTAGTTTCAGTTTTCTCAGTCGTAGTAGTTCACCTGCGTCTTCGCGTGAGGCAACCGCGTCAGGAAAAGCGAGTGAATATTTTTGTCACGACAATTATTTCCTATACCATTACGATGGCTATTAGAAACTCGTCCGACAGAAAATTAACAATGATAGCCATTGTTTTAGACGAGGAAGAAAGAAAAACATCAGACGATCATGACGTTACTAAGTAAACGCCGTTTAAAAAAAAAATAATTTAAAAGGAAATATTATTACTAGAAAACAAGCGACAACACGTTTATAGCGGGCTTAGAACGGTCATCATACGCAGTTATAACCCGTGTGCTCACCGTTTCGCCGTCCGCGCGTACCGGTCCGGCAACGTCGCCTGCCAGGCACGGAGCGGTCTTGGTCGGTGATGGAACGGTCTAGTGGGCATAGTCTCATACTTTTCAATACAAAGTTTTTTTTTTTGCCCGATACGGTCCTGTTATGGTCCTAGCAGTCATGGTATGAGACGGTATAGTGGGCAGAGACCTTTTATTTAATTAAATAGTGTTAAGCAATATTGTTTGTTAATTTTTTTTATTTTTATTTTATAGTTTATTTATGGCAAAATAATGAAAAAATAATAATAATAAAAGATAACCTTTATTGTTAAGTGTGCAATTTATTCTAACGTAAATTATGATAGGCAAGTAGTCAAATACCAATACCTACACAAGGATTGCTTAGTTTATATCTGTTCGATAATTATCTTGATAATTATCAAAACATATATTTACCTTGATAATTTTATACCCTGACTTAAAGCGACATAGTTAACTTTTGACTAAGCTCTTTAAAATAAAAATAAAATCGTGTAAAGGCCCTTAGTATATAGAAAAATATTAAATAATTTTAAAAATATAAATTAATAATTAATTCAAATATTACAACAGGACATAAATGAAAGAACAGTTAGTCTTGCAAGATATATTTCACAGAAACAAACTTGCCGTCAATTTACTCTTAAACCAATACATGGAATAAAAACCGCGCGCTCTGCACCGTCTGCAACAAAATAAAAAGAAAATCTATTTATTTATTTTTAATAGCTTACTAAATAAATTTACATAGTGACATGAGTTTAACACAATAATATTTCTTATCTATATGTATATAATATATATAATTCTTCTGTATGTGTGTTTGTTAACCTTATTCCTCCTAAAGGGCTGAATGGGAGGGGACAGATTTGGATAAAATTTTGTGTATATTATAATGGTGTCCTGGATGGTTTGAAAATACAATTGGACCCGGTAGGTGGCGCTGCAGTCGGTGTATCACTAAATTTTCATAAAAAACTCCATTTTCCAGGCAATAAATAAATTTAAATTGTTGATAAAATAAAAATAGATGTGTATATTTCCAATGGACTCCAAGAGCTGGAGTGATTTTGATAAAATTTTCAGGTAATCTTCAGATTAGCCCAGCGGGTGATCATGTGAATTTTGTTAGCGATGAGTCAAATTTGTACATTAAATAGTTTTTGGAAAATTTTATTAAAATAGTCATTATTTATTATCGATACCAGTTTTTTGTCTGTCAAGTCTGTCTCAAGCACTGCACAGATTTTGATGAATTTTGGTATGATAGCTGGTTATACAGATCAACATATTTCTATACTAAACGTTAAAACATAACTAGGGATGAACCCGAGCGAAGCACAGACGAGTCGCTAAATAATAAATCAGTAGTTATCCAGTATTATTGTTTCATTCCTCACTTCGTCCAAAGTAGGAACTCATTAATAAAAGCGAATTCATATTTAGTGATTAAACTAAAAAAAAAACATACAAGTGAGCTAGAGCCTTAAGGCTGCTTTACTTAAAACCTTCTCCAAATCTAACAACTAACGATAAAACTAATACTCTGAGGCAGAACCAAACTAAAAACAGTGCTGGTTCTTAAACAGGACACTGGCATCTCAATAAACATCTTTTCAATATAAGTATCAGAAACAGCCCCCCGGGCGTGCCTCCAAGAGCATGAAACTCCAGCTCACATTCTGCTTGAATACAGTGAACTGATACACCTATGTGAAGAAAAACTTAAGACCTCAGATGATTGCTTCCGGAAATCTTCCTGGACACCAGCAGCTCTACCATTGAGAAACCAATAACACTAACTAGCACAAGCTCACGCACAAGAAGCAAATCTGTTTAAATGCAGAAAAGGCCATGTAAGAAGAAGGCTGCTCAACTTACTAATTTATGTTATGTACTTTATCTATATTAATATTATAAAGAGGTAAAGTTTGTGAGTTTGTGATGTTGTAGGGGGTAATCTCTGGATCTACTGAACTAAATTAAATGAATTTGGTGAGAAGATAGTTTGAGACTCTGGGAAGTTTATATCCCGAAAATCATGCCTTAAGGGAGTAAAAATGGGGATGAAACTTTGTATTGGGTAGCAAGCTAGGAACAAACGCGAGAAAAGCGAGGGCGAGTCACTAGTACAAAATAAAGCTTACACTATCTCCTTACCAAGTTTCAGATAATTCCGACAAAATTAACGTAATTGTTATAATAACTAGTAGATAACTTTTTCTGCTAAAACTTACATTTAAAAGTTTAGTCAAAAAGACCGAAGCCCATGTCTTCATCGTCAGATTCAGATTCTTCTTTCTTGGCCTCTTTCTCTTCTGTAAGGTAGAACAAAAAAGTATTACACAATAGAAGTAAAGACTATTCTTGGTTTTATATGTCCAAGTTATTTTCAGTGTTAAATTCACAGCACTGTTTCTCAGTCGAAAGATGGTATATGTATAAATCATCATATCAATATATAGTTAAATGAATTCTAAAAATAGCTATGAAGATTTCAAACTTTTCTATGTTGTAGCAAGTATATAATAAATGATTAACAGAAATATATTATACAGTATAACTCCAAGACTAAAAATTATCATTAAAAACCCAAAAATTTAAATCAAAATATGTATTTATTTTTAACCCTTTGTAACAACCCACTGTTAGGCACAGGCCTCCCTTTAATTTGTAGGGGATCAGGCTGTAGTCCACCATGCTAGCCAAGTGCAGGCTGACTTCATGTCTTTCTAAAACTTGCTAGGTTTCCTCACTATGTTTTCCTTCAAATGACAAGTAAGACAAGTGGTAATCATGTTGAAAATGAATCACACATGAAAATATCCTAGGTCTAAGACACAGGATTTAAACCGGCTTCACTCAGTTTTCCAAACTGGGCTACCACAAGCTCATCATCTATCATATGTAATTCCCATTTCTTTTTTGCTTCAAGTAATAAAGCAAAAGAATAAAAAAACCCAGATAACCATTTAGTAAATAGACCAACCTTTCTTCTCTTCTGCAGCAGCTGCAGCTGGGGCGGCAGCAGCAGCGGCAGCTGGAGCTGCACCACCCGCTGGCATGGAGGACAGCTTCTCACGACCTGCGTGTACATACATACAAATCTATCAATAATCATGCCTAGTTTTATTGTATTGTCATATTGAAGAATTCACATCAGTTATTAATTTGACAGCATTTAGCTCAGACGAAAGATGGTGTAATTGTTATATCATCATTAAAATATCCTGTAGTGTGACAACAATTGAAATATCAATAGTGTTAATTGTACAATGCGAATAACATTTGGACTGTTGATATTATTCAATTACCATGGTTACTTAAGTTTTAACCTAGAAATTGCATCTTTAACCTTTAATAATTTATAAGGGAAACATTAAGTATACAATCAGTGTTAGCATAAATTGCATTTGGTAGAAGGAGTTTTCACTAATCACAAAATAAAATGTTTAAATCTAAACTGAAATTTAGTGCAAAGTTACCATTACTTACTTAGTCGATAACATAACCTCAAAAAGATATACTTAGTGGTATACTATCACACATTTCTTACCTTGCGCCATCAGATCCTCAACGGACTTGCCGTTAAGTTCCCCGATGACCTTCTTCAGCTTCTCAGAGTCGGCTTCAATACCAACTGAACTGAGGATCTTCTCGAGATCAGCTGCGGCTGGCGAGGCTTTGCCCCCGAGCACGGCTAACAAATACGCGGCCACGTAACGCATTCTGCAAGTCCATGGAGATAATTATGTTAAATTAATTTGCAAATGATGTGCAAATAATTAATGAAAATGGTTAAAAAAAAAACTATTTGAACAGGTAGGTAAGTATGTTTCATGAGATCCCCATGTCACGTTGGTTACACATCGAAATTTGTTTTAGAAATATTAACTTTAATTTTCTGTTTCAGTTATAAATAGTAAAATATAAAAGTAATTAACAGTTAACTTTAACAAAAAGAGAGAAAAACTATTTCTCAAAGATTATTGTTTGGTTACCGCGCACTTCACATTTTACATCCAACTCAATCTATCACAATATAATATTAATTCACCAGATTTTTTATAAATATTATAAAACAATAGATGAATAACACTCTTATTATAATATTTTTAATAAAAACACTTACTTTTAAGTCGTAAAGACACGAAACGTGTTTTGCCGTAAATTAAAAACGTTTGCTTGAACGAAACGTCAAAGCAAAAGGGACAAAACCTTTATCACAAAGGTGAAACTTGAAAGATTTTATCAGTGTTACTAGTACATATCAACTATAGAATATAGATGACTTGACAGTTGCCGGCTTTTTTTTGTTAATAAAGCGATGTGCACACATATAGGTTGACCTTAAAACAATTCAAGAAATCCATAAATCTGATAGTACAGTTGACATATTATAATGGAACTATTCTATAATAATAAAAAATATCATAATATAATTATGAATACAATGAAATACAAACATGATAAAATAGATCAGCTAAGTATAACGGGGCTGTTTAAAAACCAAAAATATTATGTTTCATTTTAATATTGTTTTATTTTTATTAAAATCGTTCAAAATATACTTAATATTTGACTGTTTCTTTTAATATGTGTCTTTGTTACAGATAATATGCAAAATATTTTTGTGTTTCAAAATGTCCATAAAAGTTAAAATCACGTTCTCTAGTACTCTACGCAGTGTGATTATAAGTAAGAACGTAAATTAAATACAGTAATAAAATATTAGGTAATTATAACTTCTTTTTAGTATTGTAGGTTTTTACCTACCTGAGTATGTTTAAACAGTTTTTAAGAAATTAGAAGACATACATTTGTATTACTTGTACCTACACTCGACGTCTCATGAAGCACAGAAAAGTTAGCTCTGAAAAGAGCTATTTTATTGTCTATATAAAACAAGAAGTAGTATGAAAAGAACTGTGTCCGTCAACTGAAAAGAACAGTTCTGAAATTTGTAGATTTGTATAATTTTTGTACATAATTAAGAAGTCACACTTTTACAATAAAACATCCTCATACGCATTCAAGTTATTACAAGTTTCCTTTCTAAACCCCCAACTTGTAAATACTTAAGCAATATCCAGTATTCATTTATAACAGAGGTTCCTATGCTTTTTTTTCTCGTAGACCACTTTCAAAATTTTACTGGTTGCTGTGGACCACTCTACTGCTACATTTCTACCATATTCCTAACACTCGTCAAAAAATGTGAAGATTAGATCTAACGATGGTTTGCGTCGCGGCTGAGTTCCGACCCTAAATTCGGAGTGGTAAAACTAAAAATAAAATAGTACATTTTCTTGTGTTCTTTTTATTAAAATGATATGATTACAGACTTAATAGAATTAAAATTAAACATTAATAAAGTACTGTAACTTCAACAATGCAAATCAACAATAAAAAAAAGAGAAAAAAAAACAAAATTTGCCAATATTATCTTTTCTCGCTATCTGTTAGGAATGCATGCAAACCTTAAGTCTTAAAAAATTTACCCAAAGAATCTGAAAATTAGAAACTTAAAGCTACAAAATGCTCTTTTTAAAGTCTCGGTAGACCATTTTTCACTCGACCAGCTGAAAGAAGATTGAGAAGGAGAGGTATAATAAAAATATAAAGATTGTGAATTCACCAATTTTGGTCGTCTTATACCTTTAGCTTATAATTTTTTCAGTTTTTGTGTTTTGGGAACAAATGATATCTATTTTCTTTGCATCCTGATACTGCATAATTTGTCATTTTAATTAAATTTTAAATAATAAAAAAAATCTACGCTATAGAGCTTTATAATATACTGAGGATCATAGTGATCGCGACATCTGGCGGAAGAAAAAGCAAAATGCTTCCCCATTGCCATCTATTACAATAGTACCACAACAATTATTTGTATTATAGTAAAATTTCGCTCCATCTAGTGTCAACTTTAAAAAAATAGATAAATTCTTAAATTTTTACAAGAATATAGAACAGATGGCGCTGACAACAAACCTGAAAATATAAAAAAACTGAACATTTTCATTACAGTTGTGTATGAGCAGAGCAGCTTGTGATGTACAGAGCATGCAATGATTGATGAACATAACGTATTGTAATTTAGTAAAAGGTAATTTACAAATTATAATAAATACGTATTATATTATTATGACTCGTGTAGATAAATAGTGTCAGTGCGTTCAGACACAAAAAAAACAATTATTAATTACTAGCGGTTCATCCTCGCATCGCTCGGGTTCGTCCCTAGGTAACGTTTTAACGGTAACTATGGAATAGATAGTCTATTATATGAAGAGATATATAAAGTGTTTTCCCGTGAGAATGAGATAATCTCCCGCGGTAAAAAGGAGCCTTGGTTACTCTCCAGTCCTCCAGTCCTCCAACTATGTCTACACAAAAAATCACGCGAAGCCGTCACTCCGTTTCGATGTAAAAGAAGGACAACAAACAAACAAACAAACAAACACACTTTCACATTTATAATATTAAGTATGGATGTTATTATAATGGACCTATTAAACAAAAGCTTCGGATTTATTAAAAAAAATGATAAACAGGCATTCATATTATAATTATGTGGTATAGCATATTTCTTCACCAGTAAAATTAATTATTATCTTATATTGTGTTCTTTGTGTTGAAGTGTTGTGTATGTTATTATTTATCATAATATTATCTAGGTATATAAATATATATAAAAGGCAGTGATAGCCCAGTGGTAACGCGCTCGCTTGGGAAGCGTGTTCAAATCCCGGGCCTCGCACCTCTGATATTTTAATATGCGAATCATTTCTAACTCTATTACCACTTGCCTTACGGCGAAGGAAAATATCGTGAGGAAACCTGCACGTCTGAGAAAACCTAGCAAGTTTATATATATATACTAGCGACTCACTACTACTACTTCGTCCCTGGGGTGGGGTCTGGGAGGACCACCCTTATCCTTATCACTTAGGGGTATGAAAAATAGATAGTAGCCGATTCTCAGACCTACTGAATACGCATATAAAATTTGGTAAAAATCGGTAAAGCCGTTTCGGAGGAGTACGGTAACAAACATTGTGACATGGAAATTTTATATATAAGATATATATGTATATATATATATATATATATATAGTTCATATATATATAGTTCATATATGACAATAACAAATCGGGTACTTTTGATTCGGGAAAATTAAAGAGTTCCCGTGGGATAGTCAAAAAACTATAGTAACTTATACAGCTTAGTACACAAAAACTACTGATTGGATTGTGATGAAACTTAATAATAATATCCATGCTAATATTATAAATGTAAAAGTGTATTTGTTTGTTTGTCTTTTTTTCACTTCGAAACGGCTTGGTGGATTGGCGTATTTTTTGTGTGGAGATAGTTGGCGGGCTGGAGAGTGACATAGGCTACTTTTTCCCGTGGGAAATTATATCTTTCCCACGGGAAAAGACGTTATAATACAACCCAAAAAATATTTATGATCAAAATTACTTGAAACTTGGTATTATTGCTCTTTAATAAAATTAAATAAATAGGTGTTTTAGATTACATTTTTAGAAATTCATCCTATAAGGAGGTAAAATATGGGATGAAAGTTTGTATGAAACTATCTTTTTAGAGATTTTTTGTAGTTTTAGCGCGAGCGGAGCCGCGGGTTCTGCTAGTATTATTAAATAATATCAGAATTCAGAATAATTGTTAAACATGCACATAAATTAAAAACTTTTGTTGAGCATAATTTAAAAACCCCAACATTCCTAATAGGGTTGTTAGTAACTAGAGTACATAAATTCAATTTTTTGTTTTCACAAATCGTAATTTTGTTTAATTTATTGATAATTCGTTAGTTAACTATAGTAAATAAATTGTTGTGATTTCTTAATTTTAATACTAATATTGTCAGATATATTCAAAGTAACCTATATTTATTGTCATTAATTGGAGTTTCAATGAGATTATCATTTTATATTAAGTATGCAAATGTATTATTTAAAAAAGAAACTAAATTTATTTTAAATCAAATGTTGCAATGATTTAGGAATAGTCAAAGTTAAACTTAAATTATTGTTGTGATTTAAAAATTATGAAATGTACTAGAAATAATTTATATTTATTTTAATAAATATTACAGTCTTATTTTCTAAATTAGATACATAAATGGATTATTGTGATTGCGACGGAAGTAGTTAAAATGACATTAAAATTATTAAAAAGGTGGGTTGATTAAAATTAAAATTATTATAAAAGGATTGCTTTGTATATATGATCAGGATTCATTCTAATTTAGTAAAAGTTACGGTGAGGTTGTGCTGAAACTGTGTTGTGTAATTTTAGTAAAAGCAGTGATAAATGTAGTGTTAAGTGTGGTGTAATTCTTATATGTGAATCTATAATTATTATACGTTTGAAGTATATTCTGGTGGTTTTCATTATAAAATCTAATATCAATTAATTTTATAGAATATAATATTCAATTTTAAAAACTTTGTGTACCGAAACAAAACTACTGTGACATTGAGTGACATAGTACACTCTCCGTCCAATAATTTATAGTATACGAAATTTAATACAATTATACAAAAGTCTAATTGAGACATTGTCCCTGGCAACCCTGATTGAAACAACAAATTGGTAAACATTAATAACTAGAAGATAATCGCTGTAAACAAATTTTTCAGCTCAAACATTTAATCTCGAAACAGAATTAACGCGGGGGTTGATTCATTTTATTTATTATTTTTGTTTCGTATAATTTATTGTTTTTGTACGTTGGCTAACTGCGATCACCAGTTTGGAAAAAAAAGTAAAATGCATGACAGGGATTAAGTTGTCAATTTTGTGTTGTTTTTTTTTGTCCTACTGTGGCGAAGCTCAAAATAAATATTACGCATTTGACCTGCATTAACCAATTTTTGATAAATGCAATATTGAATTCGTTGTGCTGGCCCGAGTGTCATTGGCAAAATTACAATTGTTGATTCAAAAATACAAAAGAGACACATTTCTGATTTTGGGTCTATGAAACTTTTATTGAAAATATTGTTTTCTTTGGATGTTTTAAAATTGTGCCGAAAATTGCTATTCATCTTTCTCGTTAAACACAATCGTTTTATTAGCAATAATCGCGTAATTGTAGTGAATTATTTTCAGGAAATTAAACATTGTGCTTGCTATCTATATTATTACAAGTGATATTGTAATAATGTACATAGACAGCAACAACAGTATTTAGAGGATCAATGCGCGCAATGACTGACTTATATACCTACTTATAATTTTTTATTACTTATAATAATTGATGGCACAAGTTTAGTATATGAAACGCGGCCTCTGGAGGAGTGGGTGGTATTCTTGGATAGGGGAGGTGATAGGGAGTCTAAATATAAATAAATTATTTTGAGAAAGTGAAGGATTCAAAAGTTATGTTTTCCTCAAACGTTCAATAGTGATTATGGTTAAATTTCGACCACTAGGCGAATTAGATGATAGATGGTGTTTAATCTGCTGGGTTTCTTGGGAATGTTAACATGCGGGTTGCTCCTAGTAACCCTATGGTTGTTGTGGTCTGCTTCAGCAGACCTGCCGTCGGGGCGTCGTGGTTGATTGCGTAAGCGATCCTGCGACGCCCCATTAAGACGGGAGAGGTTGGGTTTTAGTGGGTAGTACAGCCTGTTCTAGCCCACATAACCACCTGCATCTCTACAGGTGGGATGTGTTAATGCATTTCCCAACATTAAAAAAAGGTCATTTTTGATATAAGTGATCATCTTAAAAGTGTGTATGTTACACAGTTAAAAAAAAAACAATGTATCTTCTCCACCACACTCACAATTGTAGTTTTATCTTTTTATTACAAACGAAACCCTAAAATACGTCAAATTTCATTTTCAAAGCCGCGCTGACGTACATATACTTGAATTTCAATAGAATTCTCTTTTTAGTACTCTTTCTACAACCGTAACTAGAGACATATAAATTCATATGTTCCCAAAGAAAACGAATAGAAAACATACTGTGCCAATCAGATGGGAACTAGAGGTTTATATGGACGGCGAGTGCGGTGTAAAAGTTTCTGAAGACGTAATAAAATGAAAGTGGCCGTTCCGGCAAGTATGCGGTTCGGTTATAAAATTTAGGCAATCGATGCTTTTTGTCGATTATTATCGGTTCGGACTTTGGGATATTCGATTCATTTATTGGTTAGCATGTATGGCTGTAGATTCTGTATTTAAGTTCCGCGTTGGGCTAAAATAATTAAGTGGTTTTTCTGTCAAATAATTCTCAGTAACATTCTGGACTTAGAATGGTTGTGGTTTTACAACTATGTGTTGAGACAGCATGTTAAGTCGCTCCTGCGCACCATCGAATGATGACGGATTGCCGGCCTACCTTACTGTGAGAGTTAAAGAACTGAACAGTACCAATATGCGCACAAATTATGAGGAAGTTCAAGGTGTTGTCCTACTTTTGGTCCTCCGTTTTCTTTTCTTTAAAGAGTTCAACTTTCAGTTAAAGAATGTTATATATGCTAATAACACTTTACAATATTGTTGTTGGGTTAACACACAGCAACACTGAGTTCCATGGTAAGCTTCGAGGCCTGTGTTATGGATACCAGATAGTTGATACACTACACATAATATTATATAACTTTAAAAACATACGTATTATAAAATATAAACACCCATGACTGGAGTACAAACATTCGTGCTCATCACACTAATGAATGCCCCCAGCGGGACTCTAACCCGCGACCGCTAGCACATCAAGTAGAGAGTCAAAGTTGTAGAAATCTCTTTTTACTTCTAGTGCTTCCCTGAGACGAAAAATACAAATTATTACTAGCATTTCATATACGACATATAGTATAGTTTATAAAGAAAAAGTATGTATTATTTAAATTTTAAAGTGTTACTAATATTGACGACACGTTTGGCTCAGTTTGTAGTGATCCTACTTTCTGTGCCAGCAGTCGCGGGTTCGAGTCCAGCTGGAGGCGTTCATTTGTGTTATGAGCACGAATGTTTGTACTCCAGTCATGGGTGTTAATATTTATATTTAAAATATGTATGTATTTAAAGTTTATATATGTGTAGTGTATCAACTATCTGCTATCCATAACACAAGCCTCGTAGCTTACCATGGAACTAGATGGTGCTGTATGTAAATGTCTCAACATATTTATTTATTTGTATAGAAATCGAATATCGGCGTAAGTCTAAGAAAGTATTAAGCATTTTTATACAAAACTTTTATATTATTAAAAGTCAGTGTATTCATTCAGTGAGGAAGCTGTGAGGAAGCTCGGATAGTTTGTTACATAAACTTTTTAATCGTGTTTCCATCTTGTTTATTCTTTGTAAAAGGAAATTGGTTTATTATTTTTATTGTACGATTGGTAGACATATTTGCCATAATAATAGAGATATACACATATGATAATGATAATATATAGCCGTGTACAGTCAAGTGTTTGAAAAATATGTGGTTTAGGAAATGGCTTATTTTGTGTAAGAAATTCAAAATAACATGTCTATTTGGCAGACACGGCAGGGTTGATTTATTTATTCCATTATGATAACAAAATGATAAACGTTATTTGTGTTTATATATAACTTATATAACTTACATATACTTAAGTTCAGTTCAAAACCGGCAGAGTTTTCAAATAAAACCTTGTAATTTGTAAAGAAATACTGAAACTGGAGTGTCACAGCCACAGTTACCTTCGCCAATATGAAAAAAATAATGCTCAGAGTTTAGATTAAAATTAAAATTTCGTTCATCGTGTTAAGCCGTTTCTGAGATTACCACGCACAAACGCACAGACAAACAGAGAAATAATCTAAAAATCGTTGTTTTGGGTTCTATTGCGTTATTAAAGACCTCCAATAACAGTTTTTCTCAAATATCTGCCATGTACAGACAGCGATCAGTTACATATTTATTATATGTGTAGATGAAAAAATGAATGGAAGATATGAAAATAAGATACAATGAAATAGCAACATCTTATCTAAATACAAAATTTGATCCTAATCTGTAGAGTCCATTTCTGAGATACACGAAATAAATTTATATATAAACGAAACTAAATATATATACAAGAATTGCTCATTTCATATTAAAAGATATGATAAATGTATACATTTTTGATTTATTGACGACACGTTTGGATCAGTTTGTAGTGATCCTACATGCTGTACCAGTGGACCTGGGTTCTAGTCCCGCTGGGGGCATCCATTTGTGTGATAATTACGAATGTTTGTACTTAAGTTATGGGTATGTATGTGATATATATACTATTCTTTATTGCACTTAAAAATCAATACAGTAATTTAAAAACAATATGTAATTGTATGTATTTAAAGTTATATATGTGTAGTGTATCAACTATCTGGTATCCGTAACACAAGCCTCGTAGCTTACCATGGAACTAGGTGGTGCTGTGTGTTAATGTCTCAACATATTTATTTATTTATAGCAGAATTCTCGGCTTCGCCCGCGTTCAAAGTACAAAAAAAACTTTTCTTTCCCTTCCCTTTACAACAATATATGGAAGTCTGCCCGATTTGTTGACATTTATGATTACTGCTCCGGTCCCTTGGGTAGTAGCATGTTGATATATAGACTATGGCCTTCCTCAATAAACGGGCTATCTATATATATCTAATGCGAAAAGAATTTTTCAAATCGAATTAGTAGTTTCTGAGATTAGCGCGTTCAATCAAACAAAAAAACTCTGCCTTTTATAATATTAGTAAAGATACATTTACATATACACAGTTCAGTTCTAACTCTTTAAAAATATTTTAAAGGTAAATTAGTATAAAATTTCAAAATTACATGAAGTAATTAATCTCAAGTTACAACAAGTTCAACAACACTATTCATCTCGAGAAAATCTTTTAAATTCTCACGTTCTCTACAATAGACGCTATTTTCCGTACAAATGCAATCTTACTCGCGTGTAGGTTTCTTCCAGGACAAACAAATAGATCAGGGGTGTCTAAACATTGAATCTAAACATAGGTATCTAGATTTTCTTTGGTTAATAATTTGGACCTATATAAAAAAAAATTACAAATATGCTTCGTAAATACTCAAAATGGGATGTGTAGTTGTGGATTACGTCGAAATAATAAATACCGGCAGATCTTCCAGTAAGTATGTAATAGGTAGCATTCGTTTGAGCTAAATAATTATATACATGCACGCGTACATTTTTATCAAAATGTGTCCAGTGGTTTTCTCGTGATGCGGTAACAGGCAGACAGGCAGACAGACAGACAAGAATTCTAAAAACTATAGGTTCGGCCTCTGTATCGATAATAATGTCATGCCCATAATTTCGGTGAAGGAAAACATTTTCATTTATTAACATTTATTTACTTATTATAGTAATGAGTACTATATTGTACACTATTTTATTTTAAAATATTATTATTAGACTTTATGTTTAGTTCTATTACACTGTCCATATTATTCTTAGTTTGAAGTAGTATTCCTATAGCAATTATATTTTTTACCAAATTGTAGATGTACCTATATATTTCCAAGTACTTGGAATTAAAACTCCATTCAGAAGATGTGCTTAGTATTTGAATATTCACTATTCAAATCCGTCACTAATTTAATTTTTTTTCTGTTTCTTTTCTAATATCAGTTAAATATAATAAAAGTATTTGGGTTGTTACCATTGTGTATACAATGGAAGAGGATTGTCCTTATAGAATTTATATTAACGAATTTAGTTTTCATTTAAAATAATACAAATTATAATATAATGTTTAACCTACTTCCAAAAAGGAAGCTTTACATAAGTTGGTATTTTTTAACTCTTATTCAGCGAAGGAACAGACTAACTGATCGAATAAATAATAAATATGATAGTGCTCACCGATAAACTTATAATACACCTTTTGTAAAATCGGTTTGATTTCTAAAAAAATATATATGAATATGTTATTCATATGAACAATTATTAAGAATAACCTTTTAAATTAGGACTATAAATCTAAACTTACATTTACTAATATTATAAAGAGGAAAGATTTTTTTGTTTGTTTGTTCGTATCGAATAAGCTCCGAAACTATTGAACTGATTCAGATGAAATTTGGTAAGAAGATAGTTTGAGACCCTGGGAAGCTTATAGGAGTTTCTATTCCGGAAATCATCCCTTAAGGGAGTGAAAACGGGGATGAAAATTTGTATGCGGAAGCAACTTAGGGACGAACCCGAGCGATGCAAGGGTGAGTCGCTAGTAAATATATAAAAATGAAATAACTTAGTAAAATTGAATGCAGGCCGTAGTTTGGGTACATGTGAAATAGATCGATCGTATCTTGAGAACCATTTGTCAAGCATTCACTTGATGCAAGATATCCGATATATATCTATGTAAGAATCGGTTTTGGAATTGGAAATTTCGCATCTTTGCAGTATTTTCTCTTCTATTGTTTTTATTTGTACGTTACAATCAAAATAATTCTTGGGGTGATAGGAAAAAAATATATTATATGTGTCTATGATACAATCTCTTTGAGAAGGTTGGGGTTTCAATTATCTAACGTACAATAAACATGTAAACCTACTCGTAGTAACAATATAAATAAATAATAAATAGAATACAAACGCTTAACACAAAAATGAATGCCACCAGTGGGACTCGAATCAGTGACCGATGGCACGGCAAGTAGGGGCACTGCAAACTGAACCAAACTTTTCGTCAACGAGATGATTTTTCCCTGTTTTTACAATACAATGTAAGCGTAAATAAAATGATATGATCGAAGTGGACGTTCACTGTAAAAATATATTTTATTTTTAGATATAAAATACGTTTTTCTTTTAGTTGTCATGGGGCCGTTCAAATATTACGTAAGCAGATTTATTACAATCATTTACCCCCCCATCCCCCTTGTCAGCAAATGTAAGCAAAGCTCTTACCCCCTCCTCCCATGCTTACGTAAACATTTTTCAATTATAAATGTATTTTTTTATATTGTAATTATAATGTTATAATTATAATTTTAAAAATAAGAAAATAGATTTAGGATAAAGATTAGATTTTACTGATACAGTATTCAACATAGAGTAAGGGACAAAAATATTACAATCTTATGAACATAACAAACTTATTTTAAATTTTTGGTACACATATTAAATTCAAATTAACAGTCTTCAGTCCATGAAACCCAAATCCATGATTCTAAGTTTTCGATGACATTGGATTGCTGCTCAGTGTTGTGAGTCTGCTCACTTTCATCCGATTTTGGTATGTCTACGTCGAGCCATTCAACATCATGGTGCTCTAAATTTTGAATAATGCACATCAGTTTATTAGCACGACGAGCAGCGACTCTGACAGGTCTAACTTTCCTATCAGTGTGCGTGTTTACTTTTTTATGGATCTCCTCGATGTGACGATTTAGTGATTTGACGGAAGCATGATAAAGACCACAAGTTTTGCGTGTTCGACTTGATAGCCTTAATTTTACCGTCGGACAAAAATAATCGTAGGGCATTTGCAGGAAATCTTTGAGTGAAGCACTTAAGCGTAGAGCTAAATTGACTGGAAGATCAAGAAATTGCCCTCCTTATTCTAAAACCAAGTCATCAACTGTTTGTTTTACTTTTACAGGTGGTGGAAGAAATCTGTTGTCTAGTAATCTGAATAGGATGCGTTTCGTTTTCAAGCATAGACAATGTAAGGGTTGCCATTTGTGTAAAAAAGTAAATAACTACCGATGACGTAATCATCATCTAGACTCCCCTACCCCCCATGTCATCCAAAATAAGCAAAACAAAGAGATAGTGCTTACGTAATACTTGAACGGCCCCCATGAAATTTTGTTCTTGCTAAATTTTATCAAAATCTGTTTAGTTGTTAAAGTGTGAAAAGATAGGGTTTCTTTAAAATTTCTAGCATTAGTAAGAATTGCGGTGAATGGAGTATTATGAAATTGGTATACACATATTTTTTACGTGTAAATAAATTCACATAGTATTATTTGCGGGGTGCTCATAATATGGAACATTTTATGTTTTATTATATATATTAGCAGATCCGGCCACGCGTTGCTGTGATACACATATAAAAACTGTTAATTTTTCAATAAAAAAGGGAAATAATCAGGATAAAAACATCCTATGTTGTAAGTTGGAACAAATCACACATCAAAAAAAAAATACGTTAAAATCCGATAGGTAGTTTCCGAGTTCATCCCGGGCTAACATCGTAACACGGAAATTTCATATATTAAGGTATACGAGTGTTCGTAAACTCTCTAATTCTTGTCAACAGCTACTAAACAAAATAAAGAAAAAGAAAACCGGTTGACAAGCAGACGAGAAAAAGTTACTGAGCTATAGAGTCTTTGTCTATTAAAACATATATATATATATATATATATATATATATATATATATATATATATATACACACATAGATCTTGAAACTCTTTCTTCTTTTTATAGCGCTGTATTATGTTTTTGATATTTGATTTAAATGAGACGAGTAAAAAGAGAGACAAAAGGCGATTGTCCTTATCGAATTTATCTATAATAATATTATAAAAAAGTAAAGTTTGTGAGTTTGTGATGTTTTAGTATTAAAGAATTTGGTTTTCATTTACAATAACTAGCGACTTATCCTTGCTTTGCTCGGGTGCGTCTTTAGGTGCCTAATAGCATATAGCAACTGTCGCATATATTATTTTTCCGATTGACACCGCAACCGTCATAATAATATAGATTTTTAACCGACTTCCAAAAAGGAAGCTTTAAATAAGCTAGTATTTTTAATTTTTTAATACACCAACTGATCGAATATATTTATATTACATTCTAGCGAAGTTAGTACTAAGTTGATTCCCCATACAAACTTTAATCCCCATTTTCACCCCTTTGAGGGATCATTTTCAGGATAAAAAGTAGCCTGCGTCCTTCCCAGGATCTCAAACTATTATTATTTATTATTATTATTATTGTGTTGGGTGTGGTGCCGAGGTCGGCCCTTAGCTACGTCGACCAGTTTAGGTCCATATAATGAGTTCAAAGTTCTCCGCTTAGTCCTGTTGACTCCAGGAACTTCCAGATTTTCTGAGCGGGGAGCATCTGTATCTCTTCCGGTTGCATAATATGCTGCCCTAGATAGATACTTCTGCGGTGCTTGAGTGGACCGCACGAGCAGAGGATGTGCATAGCAGTTTCCTCTGTCTCATGGCATAGTCTGCACATTGCGGTCTGACTGAGGCCGAGGGTAAACATATGTTTATTGAGTTTGCAGTGACCAGTAAGTATTCTGGTTACTGCACTGGTTTTATACTTGTTGAGTTGAAGCAACTCTTTTGTAAACTTTCTGCGATATCCCTTAATTAGCGCTTTAGAGTGTATTTGTCCAGAAGTGGATTGCCACTCTTGAAGTGCTTGGCGATTGCAGTGAATTTTGAGAATTGAATAGGCATGTTGTTTTGCAATACCACAAAATGGTTCTGGGCCACATACTGGGGTTTCAGCACCCCTTCTTGCCAGTGCATCAGCCTTTTCATTCCCATCTATGCCTGAGTGACCCGGGACCCATCTGAGGGTAACTCTGTTGGATGTGCCCAGGACATTCAGATTTTCCTTACAGTCTTTGACCAGCTTAGAGTTGGTCTCAAGAGAATCTATAGCCAAAAGTTCTGCTTGGCTATCTGAGTTGAGCACATGTCCCGGTTGGGAAGATCTATTTGGTACTGTTTTGCGAAGTTAAACTCTGTACTCATGCCATCGACTGGCATTTTCAGAGTTTTGTGTTCGAATGTCAACTCTTTGAGTTTGTTCATATATTGCGATTGCAACTTTACATTCGATTGTGTACAGAGCCTGTAGAGGCAAGATTTAGCTTCTTTTTGCACATGGAGATATAGCGGAACTATGTCCAACAAAGCATTTAGAGCGTCGCCTGGTGCCGAATGGAAGGCTCCCGTGATGATTAGACATGCCATCCGTTGTATGCTGTCTAGTTTACTCATAGTTGTCTTTTGTTTGGTTTTGTTACACCATACGACTAAGGCATATGTTATGATCGGCCTTACCACGGCGGTGTACATCCAGAGAGCCATTTTGGGTTTGAGGCCCCACTTGGCTCCAGCCATTCGACAACATATTCAGAGGGCCATTTTGGCTTTTTGTATAATGTTGTTGAGGTGAGAGTTCCAGGTCAACTTTTGATCAATAGTGACTCCAAGGTACTTTACCTCATTTGATAGGTTAAGGGTTTTGCCATTGAGTCTGAGTTCAGTCAGCCTTTCAAGCTTCCTTTTCCTGGTAAATGGTACAATAACTGTTTTATCAGCGTTTATTGATAATTCATTTTCTCTGCACCATCTTGTGATGGTATTGAGAGCTCCTTGTAACCTGGTGGAAATTGTGTTCAGGCAGGGACCTCTTACTACTACAACAAGGTCATCTGCATAGCCCTGTGTATCGTAGTCAAGATCTGCCATGATTACAAGTAGTAGGTCTACAGCTAGTGTCCATAATAGGGGTGAAAGCACTCCTCCTTGCGGACAGCCTCTTGTAGTGTGGAAGTTGTGCGAGTGTTCGTTTAAACGTAACTTTCGCACACCGGTTGGAGAGCATATATTCCACCCATCTGGTGGTTGTGATATCAACACCTTTTGCATTTAATCCTTTCAGGATGGTTGCCGTAGGTGTGTTATCAAAAGCCCCCTCAATGTCCAAAAATGCACATAGAGCTGTCTGCTTATCCTCTAGGGACCTTTCTGCCTTGTCGACCAGAGCTACTAAGGCAGATTCTGTGGATTTACCCTTTTGGTAAGCATGTTGGTTGCAGGAAAGTGGTCTAGCCACAAGATACCTTGTTCTAATGTGCTGATCGATTACTTTTTCCATTGTTTTTAGTAGGAAAGAAGTAAGACTAATAGGTCTAAAGGATTTGGGCTGAGAGTAGTCTTTTTTACCGATCTTCGGTATAAAGATAACCTTGACCTTAGTCCATTGTTCTGGTATAATGCCCCAAGCAAAGCTTGCTCTAAATAATTTTACCAGATGCGGGATAAGGAGTTCCATGCCCTGTTGAAGCAGAGCTGGAAAAATTCCGTCTTCCCCTGCTGATTTAAATGGTTTGAATTTTTTCAAAGCCCATCTAATCTGGTTAGGCCTAAAAATGGTATTGGCCATCTTCCAGTCGCAACTATTTGCCCTGTGGATGTAGTTTTCCTTTGGGTTTGATTCACTGCCGGTGACAGGGTACGATCCTGGGAAATGGGTTGCTCTTAAAAGTTCCAGCGTCTCCATCTCTGTGGTCGTGAAGGAATCGTCTCGCTTTTTTAAAAAGCCGAGAAAGATGTTTGGTGTCTTGGCAAGGACCTTGTGGATTCTCGCTCCTTTATGTGTTTGGGCGATATTCTCACAGAATCGTTTCCAAGATGCTTTTTTAGCTTTTCTGATCTCTTTGTGGTATTTAGTCAGAGCCTTCTTATACCGTTCCCACCCATACGGTGTAGTGGCCTGATTAAATAAGCGACGTGTGGAAACTCTAAGTCGTTCTAGCTTTTTGTTCCACCACGGAGTATTGTTGTTAACCTTGAGTTCCCTGACAGGACAGCTATTTTCATAGGCATTTAAGATGCCATCCGTTAATAAGTTGTTTTAAAATGTTAAGGGAGTCGGGTGTCTTGATTGTTTTTGGAAAATCCTTAGCTGCCTCAGCGAGCAGGTTTTTGAAGTCTACCCACGAGGTGGCTTTGGGATTTCTAAGCCTTTTAGGCTCAGTAGTTATTGAGCCTTGTATGCTAAAGACAATATGTTTGTGATCGGACAAAGAGTTTTCATTACTGACATGCCATTTACTTATGTGTTTAGCGATTTGTTCAGTAGCAAAGGTAATATCCAGAACTTCCTGCCTAGCTTTGGTAGCGAAGGTTGGATTACAGCCTTTATTGAGTATTTGTAGATCGTTAGCTAGGAGAAAATCTAAAAGTAACTTACCTCTTTTGTTGGTACCAGTACTGCCCCAGATTGTGTGATGGGCGTTTGCATCGCAGCCAACAATTAATTCTGTCTTGTGTTTACGAGCGTAGTCGACGACTTTAGACAGTTCTTCGGTGGGGTTGGCTTTCTCTCCGGGCAGGTAGGCCGAGCACACCAGTGCTCTAGTTTGACCACGCCCTCTGAGAACGGTGATTGCAGCGACCATGTCATCACTGCAAAGTTCTGTAACAGGCAAGAAATTAATACCTTTCTTAAAAACGATACAGGCCCTAGGCTTGGTGCCATTTTCGTTTGCTAGGATCTTACCTACTCCACTTAAGCCCGAAATCTTGGACTTGGCGTTAAGCTATGGTTCCTGAACCAGCGCTATATCCATGCCATGTGCTCTAAAGGTGTTTTCTGCCACGGCTGTGGCAGCGATAGCGTGGTGTAAGTTGGCCTGGAGTATGTTGGTGTGGGCATCGCCAGTTTGGTGTGTTGCGCTACTGGGGACGAGCCCCATTGCGCTTGTCACATCCCTTGCTGC